TGAGTGTCAGCACTTCCTGGGAACACAGACGACGGCGAAGATCTAGGCATCGTGAGCCGCACCGAAGGCGATCCCGCAGCCATCATCGACGGTTCTCAGAACGTCCTGTCGATGCAGTGCCAGTGGGTCGCCGTCATGCTTATACTCCTAAGTATCCACCGGCAGTTAAAGCCATGCCAGCTTGCAGACCGTCTGGTCTGCCCTATGAACGATGACGGAGCAACAGCGACAAAAGTACGTCAGAGTTTGCTGCATTCATGCTTGCATGTAACTTATCTCTGTCTTGCCGCAGCATTATCGCTTTGCAGCTTTGCTTGAGTTGAACTTGTGGTTTGATCGGTTGCCATGTATTTGTCAGCTGAGTTTGTGAATAACCTGGTGGCTGTGCTCAATGTCCTTGCATCCCAAGTGGCGACAGCTTTGGATACCCTGAACTTTGCCTTGATGACGGAACGCGGTCGTCCGACTGACACGGTGGTCACCCCAAGAGCACCAAGAAACTCCAGACATGGGTTGCGCCCCCGCATCATCACGGAGCACCCCTCATCTGACAGATCCCGATCACCCGCACGTATTCGGGGTCGACCGCTGGACACGTCATCTACCTGGTACATACCGGCCTTGTCCCCGCCTAGAGCGGCACATCGTGATGCTAGTGACCACAATCCGGGAGCTCGGCCCGAATCGATGCTGGATCGACTACCACCTCCTCGTCCCCTTGCTCCTGGCGCGATACACGGTGCACGAGAGCCAGGACAAACGACGCCTACGACACCTGATTCGGATTCTGATGGGTCCATACGTCCGCATCCAGGTGCCTCGTCGTTCCGGCCGTCGCCGACGGTGGTCCATGGTCCTCGTGAACTTCTACAAGAATTTACCATTGCACTTCGCAATGCGTACCGTGAACCCTTCACGGCATGGACACAGGGTGAGCTGGATGAAATGGTGAGACGAAAGAAGGATAAAGATTCCAGACCCACCTATAAGACCATTGCGCGGTTTCTTCAGAAGCCGATTGAGGAAGTCAAGCAAGCATGGAAGGTCTATCAACAACTTGAAGCTCGCGGTTAGCAACATGCCCGACAAATGCAGCAACGACCATTGATGGACCAAATGATGCGCAGCGGCGGTGTGTCCGATTCGCGTTGTTGATCACATGATATTTGCTTGCTCGCATGTAAATCAATCTTGCTTGTCGTGTTGTGCAATGTCGTTGACATGCAGTGATGCCTTGCCCGAGTTGCTCAAATCATGTCGGAACAAGTTGTACAGACGTACATTACCTGGACCCATGGAGCGCAGCCGACGTGGTTACAATTTCATGGACCCGGGGCTCTACTCGACAGACCCATACGGTTAACTACGTCACCTCCGCCCCCGCCAAGTTTGCCATTGCTTCTTCCACCTCCTCCTCCACCACCACCACCACCACCGGTGATTCTTCACCCACAGTTTATGCCCTCGGTACGCAGCCCCACGATCTCAGCCCCTCGTGGACAATCCTGTCCTGCCTCTTCGAAATCGCAGCGCACACGCCGCTCGATCTACAGCAGTGACCCCTCCCGAGATGAAGAACCACGCAGTCCAGGACCCTCGTCCAAACGATCTCGGACAGCATCAGCTTCGGCGCCGCGGCGATCTCGACGGCCCTTTACAGTGTTTTATTCCAAACGTGCAGGCCGTCCATCGCAATCCCCCTCGGCGGCGTGCAAGCATTACTGTCACGCCATCCTGCGCCATGGGCGGAAGTGTCTTTCCCCTTGTGCTCGTAGACGGCCAGGTCACTATCATTGCAGGTGTGCGCGACATCGACGACAGTGACAGCTAGGAGTCTGACATTTCCGACCTCGTTGCTGCGTTTCGTCTTGTGTTTGAAAAGTTGCCTCACTCTTCGGTGTGTATGTGCGGTTGGTAATGCATGTGTTGCCTTGCCGCAGACTTTCGTTTGGTTCAACAGTCGTGCAAGCACGTATTGCGGCTATGAAACCCCAGTACTTCGAGTACCAGATCGATAGAGGAGTGGAATGGATTCGAATTTACTCTCCGGGCATTTGGAGGCCCGTTCCCGATGAGGCGCCTGTGCCTGACCCACTGTACGCTTCCACGTATCGGGAGTGGCGCAGATCATATCACTTCCAAGTGTACTGGTCTGAAGACAGCACCGGTGGAACTACAATGGATCCTATAGCCACGCCCAGCGCCTATGTGTCCTATCACGTGTGGGAGTACCGGGACTGGCAAACAAGAGGTTATCAACGCCTTGGACCTCCTGTACAATCCATGGGATTCGCGATGCTCGTCAATGCGGACGTCGAGTCCTCGGTGGAATCGTCGGTACCGGATGGGGCGTGGCGGGAACCGTCACCGCCACCATTCCATGATCCTTGGAATGAGTCGGATTGATTCTTGAGCAGTATGTTGGATAAAGACGCGGTTGTGCTTGCTTTGTATGTGTGTTCGCATTGGGTTGTCTTGTTTGGTGCTGTGCATGTCGTTTCAGTGTGTCCGCCGCTTTCCGTGATAACTTTGAGCAGCTAGTTGGGTTGAAATGTTCAATAGTACAGTGCATGGTGCAGCACGATGGGATCTACCTCGTTATTTTGACTATGACATCGTCCATGGTCGAGCAGGCACGAGTGTGGAATGGATTCGAATCTATGTTCCGGGTCAGTGGCATCCAGTAGCCCCAGACACCCTGGGACCAGCCCCGGATGACTCGACCACCTATCGGGAATGGCGCAAGGTCTACCACTTCGAAGTGTACTGGCCCCGGGAAAGCACGGGCGGCACAACCACTGGCACGGTTCTGCAACCGGTATCTTACGCCACCTTCTACACTTGGTATTACAGGGACTGGGTCACCAAGGGGTATCAACGCCTGGGTCGTCCACATCCTAGCATAGCGAGGCCCGTTTTTGCTTCGGGCGCACCGGACCTCATGTATGCTGGAATGACTTCCTCCTCGGCATCATCTAATTCGCTTGACAGTTGATGCCCGCCCTCGCCTCCCTGGAGAATCAGACTATGATGCTGACGCCACATATTGTCACAAAAGTGCTCTCTTGCATTAGGATTGTTCTCTTGCTTGCACTTGTTGTTGTCTGCAGCCGTACACCTATCAACTTTTCTGTCCGTGGTGGTGCTGTCATGGCGTGGCTGGAATGGTGCCCGGACCCTCAACAACCTGATGCCCAGTGGGTCAAGATCTTTCATCCGGGACCGTGGACGCCGCAAGAGGAACATGATGAACCACCTCCTCCGCACACTTTTAGAGAGTGGAGGGAGTTCTATGCACCCAACCAGGCCTCAGTCGGAGAGCAGGCCCAAGTCACTATGTGGTACAAACGAGACTGGGCCACAGAGGGCTACCGACGAATCGCTGCCCCTCACGCTGGTCATGACTTTGACTCAGGGTATTCCCCCGATCATCTCAGCGTGGCCACGCAGTCTACGGCATTGACTATGTCGCCAGAGCTGTTAGACGCGATTCTCAGGTCCTCGGATGCAGCTGACTTCTCTACTGAAGAACTGACGCGTCTCCAGGAAGGGATTTCGCAACAACTGACAGCTCGCGCACGTCTAGCTTCCCATCCTCATCAACCCGTACGTGCATCGCGTGGAAGCACATCATTGGAGACGATTGGGGTCTCCGACCCTTACCGGCCCGTTAATCCTTCCGACAGTGGCCGAGACAAGATGAGTCCCGTCTTCGAGCTCACTGAAGACTAGACTCGCATTAGCAGTGTTGCATACGAAATAAGGGTGATCTTTGCGCTTGCATGAGTTTGCTTGGTTGTTTGTTGCTGGTTGAACATGGTTGTGCATTGTGCTTGTTTATCTCCTAGCCGGATCGGAGCCCGCGACAATTCTTGCCTCTTGCCTTGACATGGACGTCGATGATTTGAAGCAGCACCCATGGCTTGAATATTCAGTCTGGCATGAACAGGAGTGGGTGCGGATATACACTCCAGGACATCCTCAACGATGGCACCACGGGGACGCCTTGCCAGATGTCCCTGAGAATTCGTTTCGTGAATGGAGACGGGTGACTGAGCCCGACGCACCAGACCAAGCATGGGACATCCGTGACTGGCAACACCAAGGGTACCAGCGCATCTTGTCACGGATTGAGTCATTCACGACTCGCGATCCACATGATCAGACGCTTGGTCGAGTTCGAAACTCCGATGCCGTTCCAGTTGAGGAGACATTCACCTATGCCACTCCGTTTTCTCAAGGTGATCGCCCGGCTGCTTCGCAAATCACTTCAGTTCTCTATGGCGACACTCGCAATGCTCAACGTGGTGATCTTTCGTTCCCGTCTTCTGAGCGGTTCAGGGCGGTGTCTCGCTCCCCTCGCCGTGGAGGATTTTTTGGTCAACGATAGACAATTGAGTGTGAGCATTTGATCTTCCACCAGGAGAAAAGAGAAACTTCGCCCCTCGTAGAGGGGCGTGTGTGTGCGGAGTGACAGAATGCCCTGTCACCAATCTTTTCTTCGTCAACAGGGGGACCATCCATTTGCTGTGTGCGATGGTCCAACGAAGCGGCCACAGCAAATGCGGATATCGAGGCTGATCACCTCGACGTACCTGTGCATCTTGTGTGATTCAAAGTCCTTTTGGCCCGTTGTTTCTCTCGCTGTGTGTGCTTCATGTTGATTCTGTAACGTTTTCGCCTTTAGAGGGAAATCGAGTGCCTTGCGAGCCGAAACTCATCATACTCGAAACTTGTCGGTTGTACTCGAGACTCATCAGTTGTACTCGAAAGATTAGCACTCTCCATCTGGAGTTCAAGTGTGTGTGTGTGTGTGTGTGTGTGTGTGTGTGTGTGTGTGTGTGTGTGTGTGTGTGTGTGTGTGTGTGTGTGTGTGTGTGTGTGTGTGTGTGTGTGTGTGTGTGTGTGTGTGTGTGTCTGTGTGTCTGTGTGTCTGTGTGTGTGTGTCTCGGATGGTCAACCGTCGCGAGTTTGGGGATGCGACCGGCATGACTGCCAAGGATATAGATGATGTGGTGCAAGAGATCGATGATGGCAAGCTTCAGCAACAAGTACGGGGCCCAAGCCGGAATGGGTATTCCTGCAGGGATGTTGCTGATGTTGTGGATATTGTTTTTCGAATCGAGGCAAGTTGAGGTGACTCACAACATGAGACAAAGTGAGGAACCATCATCACTGATCCAGTCATTTGTTGACACCTGATGTCAGGTTGGTCAAGTCATAGTATAGTGTATTTGCTCACAGAAAAATAAAGTGGAGGCGGTTTTGCTAGATTCATCAGGCTGAGGTGCATCAGTTGTGCATGCATTGGTGAGTCTTACTTCCTGAGTTCCTTGCCTTTAAACTTTTCGACAAGACCATTTTGGCGGTAAATAGCATGCTCTGACTTTTTTAGCCAATCCACTCAGGAAGTCTCAGGAAGTTAGGAGTGACACTGACTTAACATTATGGACTGAGCTCTCACAGTGGGCGCTGGCCTGCAGAGTTCCGGTCTTTGCGTAGGTAGTGTGGTGCACATGGAGGGTTCATCGTTTGTAGGCGCTTGCTAGGTCAGTGTACACTCGTGTCTACCGACTGGAGTCCTTTTGAGAGGAGCATGGTCTTCCAGCCCCTCCCCCCCACCCCACGCCGGTCAGTCCAAATGTCCCAGTAGTCTGTGCATTTAGGAGGGACGTCGAGGGGGACTCACGAAATTCCCCACAAAACAGGAATGCACTCATTTTCCCATGGCTTGCGGAAAAAAAACAAAGTAATTCTGACTGCTTCTCATGGCCATTCGCATGATTCGCATGTCCGCCTGCATGTCCTCGCCAGGTGAACTTGGGGCGAGCTGCCACGAATCGCAGCTTGGCTCAAGTCGCGAATCTCCTTGATCTTTGATGCTTTGTGGCAAGGCTATCTGAGCAGAAAATTGGCAAGCAAAGATGTGTTTCTTTGTTTGGCTCCAGAAAGTGAGAAGCCCTTCCACTGCCTTGAGAATGGTACACCAAGTAGGCTCACTTTTTCAGGTTTCAGGTGTCATGTTTGTCGGGTGAAGAGGTGCGATCCCATCGCTGAGTCAGTCCCTGAGTGCAAAGCGGTGACGTGACCCTGGCACCCTGTCCCACTCCCGACACTCTTAGCTCCGAGAAGCCAGCTGTGCCCTTTTTTTTGAACTCCTGAAACTGCTGATATACAAGCAGGCCACTCCTCACTCCCTGAGTTTTTGGGCTTGATGTCCCTTTTTGAGAAGACCATTTTAGTGGCGAGCTGAAACAGTTCAGGCTTGTTTTGACCAGTCCACTTGGGAGTTGAGCCATCCCACGGAGTTCGGTCGTTGGTCAGCTGACACTTTCGCACGCATGGCTCAAGGCGACGCAAGCCATGCGGCTCATGGCACAAGACGCGCCATGTCCAGAGCAGGTGCCATTTCCCCGCTTTGTTTCCCTGGAGCTGCAACGCGCAGCGCGATGCAAACCATGCTTGTGGATGAGCAGGCCACAAGGATGTCATAAAGGTTCATCTTGCTTCTTCTGCCACCACGAATGCACCTGGGAGCAGATGAACGACGCCAGGCATTGGCTTCTGCCGCGGAGCAAGATGCAGCTTGAGGGCGGAGATGTGACGCCGACACAGCCCAAGCTTGCAACGGCGAGATAGCAGAGAATAGAGCAGGGCCGGGCGGCTCACGGCTAAAGGTGGCCTGAGCTTTTGCTGCGTCACGCTGTTCAGCTTGCTGTTCGACACAATCCTTGTCCTAGATAGCCTTACCTTGATGCCATCTTAGTCAGTGCATATTGGCAGACAAACATATTACACGAGGCCTCAATCATATTCTCGCCTTGCCAAAGAGGTGCTTTCTTGCCAGTGGCGCTTTTTGCGGTCTCGTTTATTTGTTCAGTGGTGAACTAGCAAACACAGTTTGTGCTTGATCGCCGCGCATACGGGCAAGAAAGCGGATAAACAAATCCTTGGGCAACATGCGCGGAATGCAGGGCCAATTCTTTTCACGGCCCGAGCGGCTGGAACTCGCTCCGCAATTCAGCAAAAAGTGGCTGATCATGATCCCCTGGTTGAATCGAACAATCTGAGGATGTCTCCCGGCGACCCTTCACAGGTTCCCGGGGCAGGTTTAGCTAATTGTATGGACTCGCACATATGAACCCAACGCCATTAAGGAGCTCCACAATTGGTTTAATGCTGCAACATGTAAGTGCTTAGCTCTTAAGCAAAGTTCCATGTTTTGTGGGTGCGGTGAAGAATACACTGCCACTCATTTGCAACAACAAGAATGGTTCGTGTCAGGAAAGACGATGAAGCGTGTTCAATGAACGTTTTACATTGCGTGCTGGAAATAGAGCCATGGATCTCTGGGAGGACATTTTAGCATTTGGAATCGTTTTTCTTTTTGGGTGAAGCGCCGGGCAAGGATTTGCATTGTTGAATTTAGGTCGAGGCTAGACCTCGGCCGTTGCGAGTGGATCTGGGGTTCACGCTGGCACCGTTTTCTTGTGTGAAGCC